TCCCTGATTCGGTACATGGCCTGGTAAATAGCTACTTATCAAATACATTATGTCAGGCTGGTGGGATGGCTCAGAGGGTGAAGACACCGGACTCAGCCTGATTACTTGAACTTGATGCCCTGGACCCTGGAAGGAGAGAATCACCTCTTCCAAGTGTCCTCACCTGGGCTAAACCACTAACTAAATAATGTATACACTAAATTTAAAAACCGAGAAAACACATTAAGTCAACTTAAATCTTTCTGGATGCTGATAGTTCTGCATAATTACATCTAACAAGCTTTTATTTAAACAATGGCTACACTTTTATTTACTGGATATGTGCCACCAACTCAGGTGCAGGTAGGACAACCTGAAAAGTCGGTTCTTTTCTCCCACTGTGTGCCATGGATATCCCACTCCTGACCTCAGTCTTGCTTCCCCTGCTGGGCCATCTGGGAAGCCCTGACAGGTGTTTATAATGTGGACATTTTTAAGTTATAGGCTCTATTACAATCATACTTCATGAAGGAGGCAGCACTTCAGAACTACAGCTGCCTCAAAGCAACTACCTAAAAAGGGAAACAAAACAAAACAAACAAAAACAAACACCCACTCCCTGTGGCTGGGGCCATAGCTCAGTGGCAAAGCATGCCATAGCATGCACAAGGCCCTGGGTTTGATGCCAGCAGTGTAAAATGAACTCCAACAAGTTTTTAGTTCATCTTGGTGATCTTAGAAAAGCAACCTGCTTTGGAATGACCAAATCAATGCCACTTCAAGTATAAAACTTTCAGCTGGGTGACCCATCCTTGCTTGAAGGCAATCTGTTGCAAAAATAGGTCGAATTTCCTATATGATGTATATCTAATGGTTCATCATAAAGAAACTTAAAACTTTTCTGGTCACAATAAAAACATACATCAAAAAACAAAAGACTTGGGTCTATACAGACTCAACAGACTTCCCACACTTCAGATCACAGGAAGAGTGACCAGGGTTTGAAAAGCAAAGCCTCTACATTTGTACGGTTGGCCACACACTTGCAGTTAACATTGCCCCAGGCAACGCTGCTAACAGTGAAGACTTAAAAAAATCAGGGCATTTCAGCTACGGTGACATTCAATCTTCCGCTTCTTGAAAGCTCAGGGACAATCTTACTTCAGTCTAAAAGAAAACCCACCGGGCAAGCAAGCTGCAAATCCTGGCAGCTGCTCAGAGGAGGAAGACGGCGAAGAAAAGAGGAAACTATAATGTTTGCTTGTCAGTCTTTTCTTCTGCATGCAAATACTTGTGGAATGAAGTATTAGACTCTTAGCCTCTATTTTCTACATTATGTTACACAGAACTTAAAATCTTTTCTGACAAACTGACAACAAAAATCATCATTTGTTTAATTTGTTTCTCAAACATTTTAGCCTGAAACTCCTTTAAAAGCCCATGTTGGTGATCACTGCCTTCCCAGCAATCACGGAATACTGACAGATGGCAATAAGGCCCGATGCGAGAAAAGCTGGCACCAGCCTCAGGAAGAAGAAGACCAACATCAGAATCATTTCCCCAGGATCTCAAGGGGGGGAGGGGGTGTTGAAGGGTAGAGAGAATGATGAGCAAGATAGAACCGCCTGCCTCTAAGAAAGAAATAACCACAGACTGGCATTTTTCATCATGTCTTCATAATATTTAACATGACCTTGGTAGGCTGAGGCAAATATCAAGGACTTCTGAAAGGGGTATGTCTGAACCTTCTTCCCTCAGAGGATGAACAAGAATTGGAAGACAGAAAACATTAAATGGAATTCATCCAAAGTAATTTTAGGCACATGGTTCAGAGAAACAAACTGCAGGAATTCTCTACACTGAATCAGAACCGTGAGAGGGAAGGTTCAGGAATCTGCACTTTAGTACGTTCTTTGGGGTTGAAGGGAGCCTCTGGGTACTGACAAGCAGCCGCCAGATGTTCACCCTTAGATAGATCATTCTGGTGCTTGAGGCTGGGAGATCTGATAGCAACAAGGTTCAGTTAGGAGGCCCAGGCAGGACATCAGGTCACGTTCTTTAATTTGGTAACTACTTACAGAGGTGACTGCATATGTGCAGGAAAGCGTTATCTGCCCACTATAACCTAAGCCACACCAGTGTGGTGTGTGTGTGTGTGTGTGTGTGTGTGTGTGTGTGTGTGTGTGTCAAGAGGAAACCCAAGCAAGGCATTACCTCTCTACCTAAGAACCAGCTACCAAGGCAATAAACAGAAATAATTTAATCCAAAAGATGTGTCATTAAGTGATCTTATTTTATCCTATTGGATCTGGAAAAAAAAAAGAAAGCCATTAAAGATGACTCCTCTGAGATTACAACAGAATGAGTGGAAGCAAAGTGAAAATTGCCTATTTCTTATCTGATTTGTTCAACTAAGTATTTTAAATAAATCGTTTTCTTTGGCTATCAACGTGTGTTTTGGGCAAGATCATCCTAGCCGAATCAGTTTTGCTGTATCTAATGTGTGACTGTCATGGAGTCTGGTGGGGAGCTCGGCCTCTGCCTCTGGCTTCACCTCTTATGACACACACAGGCTGTAGGAGTAGCTTATGCCTTTGCAAGATCATAGGACTTGGAAGCAAAATCCTTAACTAAAAGTCTCCCGTTCCCAAGATAAGTCATTAACCAATCAATGGGAAGAAAGGCAGAACTCTGAAATAATGCAATACTACCAGAGACATTAATTGGAAAGTCAAATTTTTGGCCTAAGCTAAAGGATATAATCCTGGTCTTGTACAGGCTTCATGGATTAAAAAGATACTTCCTGTGACTCTACCTTTACAAAGTCAGAAAACCAGAGGCTTCCCGAGAATAAACTACTCTAGGCATTATCTGTTAACATTTTAATAAGTATCTACACACACACAAACACACACACACGTTAACAAAAGAGAATGCTTTCATACAAAATCATGTTACCATGACATTATGGAAACCGTAGCCAGGGTAGCAGGGGCATGAAGCAAGCACTTGGGCATTTTCTTTTATTACCCCCATGCACCTATGTAAGTTTGACCCCAACAATGTAGTAAACAACAGAAAATTCTTTCCGTTCCTACCTTCATGACAATAGAACTTCACACAGCCTGGTATCCCTGAGCTGTTCTTACCCAGGGTACATTTAAAGTAATCTCACTGCAAATACTGTCCTTGACTTCAATGCAAAACCAACTCCTATCAGTAAGTTGGGAAAACAATAAAATTGCAGCCTCTTAGTGACCAGAAGGCTGCCGGGGAGCCCCACAGCTATACTTCAAAGCTGGCCTATTCTAACTTCATCACCCAGCGACAGACAAACATTAGGAGGCTTCTCTACTCAAAGAGGGAGTTCGAGTTTTTAAAGACACCATTACTCCTACATTTTAAGAAGTTTTATTATTGGCCATCTCATTCAGAAATACAAGAGTTAAATCTCAATTCGGATGTCATCTGGTTTCCAGAATCTTTGAAGTAATTTCAAAATGCCAGCTCTAGAATGGACCTTGGAAGCTATTAAGCCCAACCTATCAGGAGCTAGGTGAATGAACTTTTGAAAGCTAGCATTACAGCACAAATGTTTTGTTCGCTCACAAGGGCCAGAGAAGTTAAAAAGCGCAAAGGATATCAGTCACACCGAACCGAACCAGGGAGAGCCTTGCACTCCTGGCGTTCAATCCCACCCTCTGTGTGGTAGACTTGAAGAGTCCCCATTCACTTCTGGTGGTTTTCTTTTTCTTGAGTGTACTATTTTTAAATTCAGAGACGCTTAGATAAAATTGTGTGAGACTAAGCATACATGATATTTCACAATTTCTGAAAGGTGAATCTTGCAAAGTCGGGCATATAACCAAAAGGTCACGCCTCTTTTTCCAAAATAGAAACAAAGTACTCTCATCTAGCCCACGATTCCCCCACCTTATTGTGTTCATTTCACTCAACTACACAAACTACCCCGGTCAAACGGTTGATACTCTACAATTACTGCAAATGTTTTCTAGAAATACTTTCCAACACTTGGGGGGGAAAAGAAAAATTTGCACTGATTTCTATCAAGTGACGCCCGTCTTCAACTTACACAGTAGCTAAGCAAAGATTTACAATTTGTTTCTCCTGTCTCTAAAATAAAAACGTGAAGGTAACAGGCATCATTTTAGAACAGAGAGGCGACATATTCTTGTACATAACTGAATAATGTTTATACACAATTGATACCTAAAGCCTTCAGGTGTCTGGAGTCAACAATTACAGGCATAATGGGTGGTTTTCAAGATAAATTGCTAACAGTCCATTTCCCGAAAGTCACTGGGTAGCACAAAATCAATTTTTTTCAAAAATGGGGACACTGGGTTCAACCACTCCCACACACATACACGTCTGGGTTTGCATACCTGGCAAAGCTATTAGTAAATACCCCAAACACCCAAACAGTGTATGGTGTATGGCGGAGGCCCTGTGACTTCAGAGGCAGGGGATCATCCCTTCCCCCATTATCCTGCTTACTTGTTCCTTATGTGACCATCCAGCACAAAAACACACCTCCGGTCAGCTTTCCTGCCTCGCTGTCCCAGGTGCTTTTCAAGCGCCCAGAGACCCTGTCCAGGCGACTACATTCCAGCAGGTCTTTCCCTAGCCAGGCCTCCGTCCCCGGGCATGAAGGGGGTGTGACCGCGGCACTTCGGCCCTCTCTCCGCGGCCAGTGGCGGTGCCGGAGAATTTTCTTTCTCTGGGTGGCTTGGGAAGAGGTCCCCAGGGCAAACAGGGTGAACAACCCTCACCTTCTCAAGGATAGGAGTCCGTGGGGGCGAGGACACACGTGGCTTCCCAAGTCCAGGTCCCAGGAACCACGCTAAGGCAGGCTCAGGGCGCCCCAGTCCCATGCTCGAGGGGCCCACAGGCAATCGGAGGGAGGCCGTCGGGCTTTAAGGGTGTCCTGTGGCCCGCCGGGCTCAGTCGCACCCCTACCCCCACCCCACCACTACCGGCCGTCCCCAACCAGGACCCACCAGCTGCTTCAGGTCCTCCTCCGAGAGCTCCGCGTAGCGGTACCGCTGCTGCTCAAACTCGTAGCGGGTGGTTTTCGCCACCACCACCACCCGCGAGGGGCGGAAGCCGCCGTCGGCGGGGCTACCACTGCCCGCCAGCTCGCGCGGCTGCCCGTGCCCCAAGTGCCGCCGGCCGTCCGCGCCCGAGCCCCGCAGAGCCGCGCGGCCACCCGCCACGCACCGGCAGCTGCCCAGCAGGAAGCCCCGGTAGCAAGTCATGGTCCGCGGGGCTGCGGCTGCAGGCTCGCGCTCTCCGCCGCCAGCACCGTGCCGGGCGCGCAGAGGTTAAGTGCGGGGACGTGCGTGGAACGCGCCACTAAGTGAGGGGGAGAGGGACGTGCCCAGACGCAGGCGCAGGCGGGGAGCCCCCGGGAAGACCGGGGAGGCGGGGATCGGGGCTGGCCCACGGGTGGTGGGTTTTATTTGTTTGTTTATCCGTTTCCTTAGGCGCCTGCGCAGTGGCCTCTCGGCCCGGCCCCACCTCCCTCTTCACCCTTTCCCGGAGGCCGCTCTGAGCCCGCCCCCAGGCCAGATCTATCAGCTAATCAGAGGTCGGGAAGGTTTGGGAGCCCGAGGGGCTGCGGGGATTGGCTGTGGCCGAGAAAGGGCAGGAATTCTATTTGGCCTTTGAGCTGCCTGAAGAAATCCAGCTGGAACCGGTCTGGGGCGGTGTTCAGGGGGTACAGGCAGAGTTTTGAGCGCCTGGCGGGAAAGCAAGTTCCTTGCGCATCTTCGCCTCGGTGCTTTTTTTTTTTTTTTGCTGGCTTTCTGGGTAGTTGCCATGCCCGTCTTGGGTAAATTTTAACCAGTGTCTGCTGGATAGCTGATGTGTCCATCGCTGGAGTAAGACTTGGGGGGCGGTGACCTCGCTCCAAGCGGCGTCGTTTGGCAGGGCCTAGTGGCAAATAAAGATGCCGAGCCCTTTTCTAGAGATGAATTAGAGCTACCGAGAAGGATCACAGAGCATTAGCTGGAGCTCAGAGGCCTAAGCTTCTTGTCCCTGTGCCCGCCAAAGACCATCAGCCTACAGAGGCAGTGCTGTCAGGGAGAAACGTGGAGGATAAAGAGGGAAGGAGTCTTGTCTAATGGTGTGTGTCTTTCTAGACAGGGAGAGAAGGTTGGAGAGGGCCAGACTGAAGGGTTAAGAATGTTTTTGCACTTTGCACTTTTGCAAGTTCAGAGCAGTGTTTGATGGTTATTGATCTGGCTTTGGAATGCTGGGTAGTCCTGGAAGCTAGAGCAAGGGAAGTTGTAAGAATCTGTGGGAACAGTTACACAACCATAGAGATCTGGGCTGATTAAGAACAAAAGGGAAGCTACTCTGGAAGAAAAGTCATAAAACAATGTACATTCTAATCTGTGGCTCCTGTCCCGAGGTCCTTGCTGTGGCGCCCTCTTTCATTTTCAGTCCTGGCAGTCCCAGTAAGTTCCCTCTGGATTCCAGGCATGGTTATGGCATGTTTGTGAGACTCAGATGCCTCTGTAACATCGGACCTACTTTCTCTTTACATCACAGAAAACTACCCTTTTGACTCCCACTTCTAGCTGGAAACATCTCAATGGGATATCCTCGTCAAACCTTCTTTTAGATCTTTTCTTCTGACTCTTTCAAAACATTGCTTCATTACGCCATCCTCTCAGATATATCTTGAACTCTCTCCCCCTGCTGGATTTTCCACTTCAGTTCTTAAAGATACCCATGTCTTACGACATTTAAAACTTTAAAGATTGAAGCTGGGCAGTGGTGGCACGTGCCTTTGATCCCAGCACTTGGGAGGAGAGGCAGGCGGATTTCTGAGTTCGAGGCCAGCCTGGTCTACAGAGTGAGTTCCAGAACAGCCAGAACTACACAGAGAAACCCTGTCTCGAAAAAAAAAAAAAAAATAGCCTTCTACGCCTCAGTTGTTTACCTGTTCCCTTACTTCCATGTACATACTCAGCGTTCTCAACCTCTGGGTCATATATCAGATGTCTTGCATATCAGATATTTACATGTTTCATAACAGCAAACTTACAATTATGAAGTAACAACAAAATAACTTTATGATTAGGGGTCACCACGACTTGAGGAACTATATTATAGGGTCGTAGCATTAGGAAGGTTGAGATCCACTGAAAGAGGTTCTGGACAGAATAATCAATACATTGGTCATCAATACACTCTTAGCAATTCATTCTTGCAGCCAACCTTTTTTGGGGCTCGGGAACAGAGCAGGCTGGGGGCGTTCAGTTGGCTTACTTTTCTAGTCCATGGTTAAGGGAACTACCAACCTTTTTTATCTTCTCCCTGTGCTTACTTCACCACTATTTCCAAAGTTACCAAATAACTGGATGGAAGTTCAGAAGATACCATTTAGCTCTTAAATCACTAGTTTGTGGAGCGCTGGAGTAGCCCCATTCTTTCTGGAGTATTTGGCTAACCTTTCAGTCCCCCTCTTCCTAGGCTCATCTCTTGGATGTAGCCCCTGCCCTCTCTCTTCTAGCCTTCTCCCTCATCATTTTCCACCCCTACTCCATTCTACTTGATGAATCCATCTCGGTTATGTAATGAAGAGTTTGGGCCTTGAAAGACTGACTCAAATCCCAACTTTGGTTGTGTATTTACTTTGTGAACCTTGAACTGGTTGTTTAACCTTTCTGAGCCTATTCTCGCATTTATAAAACAGTAGCTACCTTGTAAAGTTGTGCACAGATGGCTAAAATACCTGACCCTATGTCCATGGTAAATTAGACCCTAGACTATTAGACCCCTTTGCCTTAATTGACTTTAGCTATTACCAACATCTTTAGCCCATACCGTTCTTCTGAACTTCAAATACTTATTTTTAGCTTACTATAGGATGGTGTCACTTCAGTTCAGATGTACAACATGTCAGCGGGCGCTAAATTATATTTGAATAGAACACCCTATCAGGTGCTAGACATTGAAAGTTAAAGAGTCTTTGTTCTTTAGGAGCCAGAGACCATACAATGGTAGAATTTTACAGAGTGCTTTATAAGAATTAAGAGGAGCACATTTGGAAGAATATCTTGACATAACACATAGTAAAATAGTAGTGCCATCAAGAAGGAGAAAGGGTTTCTGCAGAAGAAATAGTATAAACAAATGCGTAGAGACCCGGTGGAGCAGCAACTTTGAATTCCTTGTGAATCGTGAGCAGTAGACAACACTGGGAGGCGATGGAGAAAGCTTATGACTAGTGTTATAGCCATACTGAGAAGCTTGGTTTTTATGCTATATATACCAGAAAGCAGCAAAGATGACAAGATGGCATAGTTAGCTTTGCAAAACAGTAAAACATTTCTTAAAAGACATACAGTCAATAAACCTCTGAAGAGATGTTCAGTCATATTTAAAAATCAGAAAGTTACAATCTAAGGTCATAGTGAAATAGACTTTATCCAATAGATAGATAGATAGATAGATAGATAGATAGATATTAAGAAGTCCTAGTAATATTCTAGTGAGAACACTATCAAATCATCAGGACATTATTAGGTTAAACCATCCCTCAATCATTTCGATAAGTCCACCATTACTAAGGTTTACTATACTGCCTTAGAAGTTCTACTATATTCTTATATGCCAGGTTGATAACTGTAAGTCTGATATTTTTAAAAAAATCAATCAGTATAGTAGAGTATATACTGGAGGTATGATCTGACTAATGCAAAAACAGAAAGTTCCTATCAATCACTAGACAGGGTATCAGTTTCACATACTCTCACACAACAAGGAAATTTTAAAGCTACCAAATTTCAAACTCTAATTCCAGTGAAATAATATGGCAAAGCCAATATAGTTTTATAATAAATGATCCATGCAACTACGTGATCCCTACATCTTAAGCTAATACTACTGTTCCTAACATTTTACGAAAACACTGTCTGTCACTGATACCTGCAGTTTGGAGATTTCCAGAGGTCTTAAATGTACTCTTCCCAGTCTCTACAACACTCATGCACATGTAACTCTGTGAAAGATGCATATCCCTCTTCATAATATTCATATATTCTAGGACTTGAAGAGTTATTTTTCCCTTTGGTTGAAGGACTTCTTTGGCAATAATAAATTTGTGTGATGGTTTGAGAAATGTCCCCCATAATAGGTTCAAGGATGTGAACACTTAGTCTCTGGTTGGTGATACTGGGATAGGTTATAGAATCTTTAGGAAGTATGTCACTGGGACTGGGCTTTGAAGGGTTATAGCCTGGTCCCACTTCCAGTTCGCTCTGCCTTCTGTGTGGCTGAGATGTGAACTCTTACCTTCCAGCACTGCCTGCCCATTGCAAGGTTTCTCCACCATTGTGTACTCTTTCTCTGGAACTGTAAACCCAAATCATTCTTCCTTCTGTAAGTACCCTTGGTTCTGATACTTTATCACAGGAACAAAAAGGATGTAAGATAATATTTTGTAACAGGAAACATTTTAATGATTCATAATTATGTTGAACAATTGGAGTAAATAATATTGAAAGACAATATTTAGATTATCTTTATTTAAGATGTATAATTCGATATAAAATTAGATACATATGTAATAAATTTGGAAATTAGTTAATCAGATTTTAATAAAAAATAGCTTATATAGAAACCCAGAATGTAAGATTCACACTCACCTGTCTGAATAACTTATGAAAATGATTATTATTGTATAATTGATTGCTTTACATTGAAAGGAGATAAAGAATGTAGAAAATGCAAAAAGTAGGGGCAGGAGGAGGCTAAATGAAAATACAAAGTAAAGAAAAACTAGGAAATGTTTCTTCTAATCAAGATGGAGGACTCTTTACTGTATGTCATGTTTCTGTTCTTTGTCACTGTTTCATGACCCTAAAGTTGGTTCTGTCTGTCTGCCTTGCTGACATTCTAATCTACTTGGGGACCTCCTGGCATTTCTGCATAGGTTACAAGTAAGTCTCTTTCCCATTTGCCATCTGTACCAAAGACCAAAGAAGATCAGTCGATTAAACTTATATTAAAATATTTGGAACACACAAAAGAACATTACTTCATTTCCGTTCCAGTATGGGAACAAGAAGAAACACGCCAAGAGATAAAGAAGGTCTCTGTTCTCTGCTTCACTTTAATCATAATGTTCCCTCAAAGTTAATATCCTATAGGTGAACCAATACTTTCATATCTTCTTCAAATGCCTCCTTGATTATATTTCTAGTAAGAATTATCCGCTGATTTGTATTCTGCAACGGAGTAGGGGGAGAGAGAAATAATCTTAATTATCTGTGTTCACTCCTTCCCCTGATGGTAAGTCTTTCTCTTTATACGTTTTCTTTCTTCTTCTGAACATATTAATTAAATCCTACTCTAGAAGACCTTACTCAGCAGTTGTATGCTGATTTAAGCTGAGGTTTGGTTAATAAATATGCATATGGGGATACTTCTCTTATATAACGGCAATAAAGCATTGTCAACTTATAAAATATATACTCATATCTATGCTTTCAAAGAATATTTTCTTCAGTGTAGCAGTTTGTAAAGTTACACCATTATTGTAAGTATATCAGGGTTTAGAACACATTCAAAACCATTTAGGATCTTGAATCTTTATCCTGTAATGAGATTGTTTAGGGCTACTAATAAAATAAAATATGGCCCTAAATTCTAACACGGATTTTTATGTGTGTTTCATAAAGTATCTCTGAAATATCAAAAAGGCATAAAACATCTGCTAAAAATTATTGAAGTTACTATATCATAATGATTGAATTTGAGATACTCATTTGGCCATATACAATACATTTGTTATAAAATTGCTTCTACATAGCCTTACCCCTTCTAGACTATGAAGACAATCACATAAATAAAGCACATTGTATTTGGCTTCTGTATATTTTTTGACACATAGGTAACATGTTACATTTTGTTCAATTATTCATCAACTCTTGTGAGCTGACTTTGAGTCAAATACATAAGATGTAACAGATAAAAGTCCACGAATGGACACGCTTGTAAAAGAATTCTTATTTGAATGTATGCATTGGGAAATTCACAGTGTAAGTGAAAATATACATTTCTCTAGAAGATACACATGATTTAATGAAGTGCCTTGCAATTATCATATTTTTAAAGAGATGCCTGTAAATTTAGTAAAATATTCTATATTCTATATATTCTATATTCTATATTTTATAGCCATACAATGTATGACTTATAATAAATACTTTAGATATTTATCAAAGATTTATCAAAGCCAACAATTTGTACTTTTAATTAATATATCCATCATCAATGTGATGAATACTCCAAATTAGTTATCAAATCCTATTCTAAAGTAATCCACAAAAGGAGAAATTCTGAAGTTCATTTCTTTTGTTTTTTTTATTTGTTTGTTTATGAAACCTTTTTGGTTTTTTTCTTTTGTTTTTGTTTTGTTTGTTTTGTTTTTTATTGGATATTTTATTTAAAAATATGGAACGCTTCACAAATTTGCATGCCATCCTTGTGCAGGGGCCATGCTAATCTTCTCTGTAGAGTTCCAATTTTAGTATATGTGCTGCCGAAGCGAGCACCTGAAGTTCCTTTCTTAAATTCTACCCACAATAATGAAAATGTAAAACATAAGACCTTTAATTACAATAAATTGTGTTTGTTTCTTTAATTTAAAAAAAAAACTCTTTAAGGTATGAGTAAAGTCTTCCCAGTTAGGATGGTCTGGCATTTCAGTAGAGTGGCCACTCTTTCTGTAGATGTCATGTTTATAGCAGAGAGGGCTTATGAACAGACAATTGACTGTCTGTGGCTCCACCTTGAAGGATCTGTGATAAATTTAAAATATTTTATTACACAGTATTCTATTTAGACTTAATATCAAATGCAAATAAACACAAATAGCTTAGTGGTAAAGAAATGAAAGGTAAATATACATGTAATTAACATTAGAAAATATTGCTAATAATTTTTACTCCCACCCTATAGCAAGTGTAGTTGATTTTAATATGTGTGTACTCTTCTTTCAAGCTTTTGGATTTATCATCATCGTCATCGTTGTGCGTGTGTGTGTGTGTGTGTGTGTGTGTGTGTGATGGGGGAACACATGTGCTCGAGGCATATGTAAAGAAGCCAGGGGATAACTTAGTGATGTTGGCTCTCTCCTTCCCCTTCATATGTGTTCTGGGGCTCAAACTCCAGTTGTCAGGCTTGCTTGACACATGCTTTGCATGCTGAGCCATCTCAGCAACAATGTTACTAATAATTTTAATGATGACATTTTCTGACAAAATGTTATTTAATTCATGGGCAACAAAGTCCAAACATACATTTTATAGCTTCCATAACATTTTAGCATCACTTGGGACACATCCTGATGAAGATGCTGGACAAAGGGGAAAACAACAGCAAAGGATAGGGTCCCATGATTGCCAGTTGCCATGTATTGTTTCCGTTGATTTAGCACTAAGATGGTTGCATATCAACCCCTTCTGAAAGTAAAAGTTTCATGACTGTGCTTCATTGATTAAATTTTGCCATTTCATCTCTATTTCAAGTTGACATTTCTAATAGCATCATGTGATCCTAATCTGCACATATGGTAGAATTTCCCTTTTAGTGATAATTTTAACATTAAGCAAAGTCTTTCACCCTCTTTTATATGTTCTTTGATAATTGTTTAAATAAGGTATAATTAAAGCACCCTTAAGATTTTAAAATGATTGAAAATTGGAAATGCTCATTGCATTATCATTGCATGTTGTCAAGTCCCCATAGATGGAATTCTGGGTAAATGAAATTGTCACTGAAAATGACTGTATGACACTTAGATTAGCTACAACCATAGAACAGAGCAGCACTTACAAGGTCTCTGGCACCTCCCCCCACCAATAATGATGTACAGTATTTTTAAACCCACACATCAGGAGAAGCAGTAAACTCTAAATACCTGTTCACTCCTGATTCAGTTTCAGTCTTAGTCCATTTGTAAATCATTTTATTTTGCCCTAGTCAAAGGAGGACCTTGCAGATAATACTAATACAATTTAGGGATTTCTCTAAGCAATCAAATTCAAAAATAACGGGATAAATATGATTTTCAGGACTTTAGATTTACCTGGGTCCCCATTGCATACATTGCTAATTCTACCAGCTAAAGCGAATAATAGACTGGACCATGGGAAAATGAACATGAGGACTGGTTTCTTTCAGGGCATCAATGTACTTCTCTAAATTGTGAAATAGTCTTTTATGGAATTTATAGGTAAATGACTTATGGGTAGCAGGGGGATGCTGACTTGAAGATCACTGGTAAAAGACAAAGATTTTTTCCAACCCACTCCTGGATCCAAACAGCCAGGCTCCAGCTACCACACTCATTAAAGCAACTGAAGAGGCTATTGAATACGCTGGACTATGCTTGCAGCGTTGCCTTTAGGCTCTGACCCAACGAAACAAGAATTATTTACCGGATCCATTTTTAGTGACTTGTATGATGTCACCCTCATCCTCATCACAGCTCTCATCGTTGAACTGCGGGAGGACTGTATCCGACTGGCTTTCAGCTGGACCGCCATCACCCTGCTTACTGAGGCTTCGAAGGGCAACGAGGCGGTGGTGTATTGCTGCATACAGGCAACCTATGTCTTTGGCACTAGCCTTCAAGAAGAAAGTTGTTAAAACTGTAAGCAATGAATAAATACAGCCACGCTTACATCTTTTTGATCTCTCGCTGCTTATAAAGGAAGGAATTCTGTTGCGTAAATCTGGAAGGTAAATAAACACCAACAGCCCCAACATGTTAAAAAACCAAAGCTGATAAATTTTACACCCAATCGTATCTCAACATGAGTTAAGTTACGAGATCTCAATCCGTACATTTTTAAATTGAGAAAAATATAGTTTTGTCATTTAATAATCCTGTTTGAATTTAAGTCTTCAAGCTAGTTAGTTCTTCCTCTGCTGCCTTAGGCTGTAGACCACTGTAAGTTTAAGGACTCTTTCCGTCACTTTACCTACCCACCCTCCAACATCCAACACACATGGCTTTGTGGAGAAGCAAAGCTCCAGAGGAACCGGTGACGTTTTCAGACATCAGACTTCTCAAAACCTCCCCGAGCTCATTTTTAGTTGCCATTAATATAAAATGAGGGCAGCAGTCATTTGATATTGGCACAGCGTTAGCAGGTGTAGCGTTAGCCCATTTACATTAGCAAAACCAAGAAGTACATATACATCCACCCCTCTTCCCTTTACGAATGAAAAAAAAAAAAAACTGTGACTGAGGAAAAAAAGAAAAACCTCTGTAAGTTAGAGCATTGAAGCCCTCACTTATGTCAGAAAACCTAATATTTTGTAATCGTTTTAGCCGTTTGATCTCAGCAGCTTTACAAAGTATATCACTGTTACCTCCATTTCCCGTGTGAGTTAGCCAGTTCAGTGAATGCTAATAACTTATCTGGAGGTCACACAGTTAGTACAATGTGGCACACAGGTATGGATATGTATGTACTTACTTTTTCCTGATTTTATAATATACATTTTACACATACATAATGAGATTATTTTGTGGACAGAGCCCAAGACTAACCATAGAATGTATTTATGGCTCATACACACCTTGCATACATAACCTGTAGGAAATTTTCTACAACATTCTACTGCACCTTGTTTGTTGCCTGGGACCCATCACACAAGGTCAGGTATGGAAATTTCCATGTTGAGTTTCAGAAAATGTTGGAGTTGGGAGCATTTTGGATTCCAACGTTTTAAATCAAGGATACTTAACCTATTGGTATAATACTAAAATGTTGATGGTGATCACAGCACATGGTTTTTATTGTGTTTGGTGTTTACCTCTTGTGAGTATGCCACAGTTTAAAAGCCAGCAGGATTGAGCATTGGGCAGCACTGTGGTGATGGTGGATAGAGTCAGTCTCGGTTTCTGCCGTAATGCTTTATCCACTGAAAACCACTGGGCAGGAGTATATGACCTTATATGATAAAGTGCAGATTCTATCTTATTTTATTTTTTGGTATTGTCACATACCATTTTTCTCCATTATTTAGTGGAAGCCTATCCAGTTATATCATAACCTACTCCAGTATCATTTGGGTACTCATATTTTTCAAGTCTTCCCAGTCTCAGGCTATGGGGAAAACCCAGCTAGAGGTTGGAGGTTGGGGGTGGGGAAAAGAAGGCTTTGTTCTTGGCAGCTCTCTTGTATCTGTAGCTTGTATTTGAGGTCAGGCATTCCTGCCGCAGGGAACAGCTCAGCTGTGCTTCTATCCCGTTACCCTGGAGATTGACTCATGTTCAGAATTGGAATCTGCTGTTGGACTGGCTGTAATGTGTATCCTGTGCTTTTCCATCCCTCGCCGGCTCCTTGGCTGTGGTCACAAGCCTCCTTTCTCTGGGTGAGTGACAGGTTACAACTTCCTAGGGGCCACGTCTCACAGTGTTGTCACTGGAAACTTAGATGCTTGTTAACATAATTTTAGTAGTAAGGAAAATAATAGGAAAAGACATCTGAATGTCTTAGAATAAGGACCAATTGATTATTATTGACTTTGGTGTCAAGTTGAATAGATGTTAGGCCATTTTAGACTGTCAATAACCCTAATGATTGACTGATTTCTTTGCCAATCTTGCAAATTATCATAAACAAGTGGAAAAATGAATTAGGAACTGCAAGAGACAAATTATTACATCAGCAGGATAATCAACCATCACTGAAATCTGTAACTTACCTGAATTAAAAATATTTTTATACCATCGTCTTCTAAATCAGTCGCAGTTATTTGCAGATTTTTGTGATTTGCTCTTTGAATCTTCATCTGAGCCCAGAGTCTGCTATTGAGGACCAGCCTCAGACTGCCTTGGTTGCGCATGACTGTGCAGGAAAGAGTAGCAAGTCAGACTGGAGTTCACAATGCCTGAACCTTAAAAATAATGTGCTTGAAGGAAAAGTTAATCCTGCAGCTGCCGCTCAAGCCACGTTTTCACTAGTGAGTGGTAACTGAACTAGATTAAAACTTGGTTTTCCAATTGGGCCTTACATCAGGGGAAGTTTATTTACTTACTTTAGTTTCAGTATTAGAATTGTATTTCTCTAGAATGTTTAACATATTAAATTTGAGTGGCTTCCTTTAAGATCTGGTGACACGACGATTATCTGAGCAATGTTTATGATGAGAAGGAAAACAGAAACGCAATCTTTTAAGTGTCAAAACATTGAATCAGGTAACTTGCAGCTCAGCCATTAGAGAGAATACTACAAATCCATTCACAGTACCGAAGAGAGGGATTGGGGAGGGCTCAGTGGTTAGGAGCACTGACTGCTCTTCCAGAGGACAGCATTCAATTCCCAGCACCCACATGGCAACTCTGTCTGTAACTCCAGTTCCAGTGGATCCTACACTCTCACACACACATGCATACAGGTAAAACACCAATCCACATTGAATGAATGAATGAATGAATGAATGAATGAATGAATGAATCTTAAAAATAATACTGAGGAGAGATACTCATCTGGGAAGATGATCATGGAATACTATGTGGAAAAGGCCAGATCAGCATAGCACCATAAACGACAAACTAGACAGTGACATAGAAGTGTACAGAGAACGGCACCAGCTGAATGCATTGTTTGCAGACTGTTACTAGACAGTAGACCCTAATATGTTCTTATCTATTCTTTGGTTGACTTATTTTCTGATTTCTATATTGAGTCCATATTATGCACATAAAAACAACAGCAACACAACAAAAGGTCTTTGGAAATTTTGGGGTTAATTTTTTTTTTTTTTTTTGTTGGCAAGCAGTAGAAGTAAACCAGAGTAGACAACAGCCAGTACTGCTTGGCAAATGTCACTTGGTTGCATTATGTAACTCTATGTTTGTCCACTACAAGGTCGATGACCTCATTCCTGTTCTTTTGATCTGAATTCTATTCCTTCTCACTCTTTAAGCTTGACATTTGAAATGCAACAAACCCTCATGCCCAGGTCCAGATTCTACTTGTAGTTTCCTTCGAAACTTTAACTTCTCAGAACTGCCTGACAAAAGAATCCACCACACCAGCCCTCTGCCCACGCTCACTTGCAACGTGGGCCTCGGAACAAAGCCCAGTGGTGCCCTTTGGATGCGAAACATATAAACTCTTTCCCCAGCTTCTGTCCACCCATCTGCTACCAGACTGAGAAGTCATATACCTAGTACCACAGAAACTACCCTTCACCCCTGCTCCATGCTGTATTTGGGTGGCAATGATTCGTGATGTGTCAGGTATTTCTTTCCCCCAAACTCTACATCTTGCAGAGTTGTTTGCTTCATACCCCTTCCAGTACCAATGATACCACTGCTCAGGTATGTCTCGGCTTAGCTTTGACACAGGTGCTTTTCACACAGCCCCTCAACAGACGTCCACAGCTGCTCAGAAAGATGTGAGTTACAGTCTGTCTGTAAATCTCACAAACAAACACTGAATACGCCACAGACTATTATTCATACTCTGAATTTGTAAGGTCAAGCCATTTCTTTGGGATCGCTAGTCAGTGGAATGAAAAATAGAACCCGTGCTGTCCGATAAGTGATTGTCTAGAGTACATTAGGAATATTGTAGTCCACCCTCAGGTTTATTGGTGTGTCTGATAAAGCATCTACAGAAAGCATGAGACATTTTGCCCTGAGAAACCATGGCTTACTCTAAGTTGTTCCTTACTTAGTCTTGACTGCAGTGTTCCGCACTCAGGGCCAGCTGTGTCATTCAGTCTCAGCATCCCTTGGCCTCTTTCACTCCAGGATTGTGTGGCTTTGTTGAATACAAAGGTCTTGCAGTTGATCTAAATGACAGGTTGTTTTATAAATATTCAATACATTAAAAAATTTTTTCAGATTAAATTCTTTCTTGTACCCTGACACTATTATACCTCGCTTATCTTATACTAAATTATTCTGTTAATGATAAATAAATTAGGTTTTGAGATTTATTTAACTTTCTAGAACATGGCATCTCTGAATAGTACAAACTGAAAAATCCTAAAACTAACAGAAATGAAAAGGGTCCCAACCCTGGCTCTCCATCTCCCACTTCTGTAACAGGTGATGGCTGTTATGTTTTATTTATCCTTTGAGAGACATTTGTCTCTGTTATATGTATACATACATACATACATACATACATACATGTTCTCATCTTTTTATAAAACAATATGATATCGTGTATACTTGCTGCTTTCTTATCTAATATGTCTCTGTATGCCAACAATTGCATTAGACTTGACATTATTTTGGCCACATAATGGTATATGAAAGAAACAAATTATGGAGTGATTTGCATGCTAAAATGTTTCAAACACAGCACACAGACATGAAGAGCTATGACATGATAACACAGGGTCCCTTGTGGTGATTTAGTGGTTGTCAGTTCTCAACTGCTCCCATGTATATGAAGTCATCGGTACATTTGGATGAAAAGTCCACCAGCGACTGACTCCTCATTCAGTTAGGCCAGAACTATACCTTGAGATGCACTTACTTAGACTGAAAGTATCCTTGGGTCACAGTGGGAATGACGGGGAGTGGAGAGTGTGGGAGAAGATGGAGGAGGGTAGAGGGGGTTAGTGCCTTTAAACAGTGAGGCTACAATAAGTACCCTGACACCACTCAGCACTGAATCAGATACTGTGGTGTGCCTGTGAAGTTCCTGATTTATGCAAAAGTCTACACTTTAACAAACAAACCTGAAGCAAGTTACCTTTCAGTATTAGACTTGCTCATAGTAATGGCACTGGTCGTGAGGGCAGACATGAGAGGTAAAGTGGAGGCCTGAAGTCTTAAGAAAGGATCCTAGCCCACTGTGTATGTGAACACAAAACCCCAGAACTCAGGAAGCTGAAGCACAAGGATACTAAACTTAGGATCCTTGCCTGTCTCTTCTTAGAGGACTACAGTGAGTGGTTGTAAACCTACACACACACACACACACACACACACACACACACACACACACACATGCAGACACAAGAGCAAACGACACACAAATGCAAACACATGCATGCACATGTGCGTGCACACACACACAGACACACACACACAGAGACATGAGCATGAACACATGCATGCACATCCACACACAGAGAATTTAAGATGATAACACAATCTTAGTTTAACAATGATGTTTTACAAGCCTCAAACAGTTTTTATTCAAGCAACTTAGTCTTCATGAAACCATTTCTAGCTATTTCTAGCTATTTTTGGGTGTCTCTGCTGATGTCAGCTTTAGTCTAAAGACGAGGTAAAGCAGTATATAGCATACAAACCTTTAACACATTATGTTCTGTTTCTTCTCCTGTTATGACATCAATTTTCTCAAGCAAGCATTTTTGTGATGGTTTGGGGGAAAAAGCAGCTGCTGATTCGATTAGGGATATGTTTTTAATAGAGTCTGTTTCAAAGAGATACAGGAGAAAAAATACGTAAGACTGTTTTCTCTGCCACGAAAAGTATTCATTATATCTTCTTACCTTACATTTTAAAAGTCAAACTGTTTGAGTAGGTTCAAGCCATCTAATTTACTTTCCCATAGTATTAAATCAGTAATTTTAAAGTTTATTATATGTTTTAATCCTTGCTGAAAAAAAATTCAGTAGTGGATTATAGGCTTTTAAAATAGTGTGGATATTAAGTAAATGTCATTAAAAATAAGACACAAAGGGCTGGAGAGATAACTCAGTGATTAAGAGTGCTGTTTGCTGTTCCAACGGACCCAACTTCTATTCCCAGCACCCACATAATGGTTTTTGTAACACCAGTCCTAAAGGATCTGATGCCCTCTTCTGGTCTTTTTGAGTACATACATCACGCATGTAAAGCACTCATACACATAAAAAAATAAAATAAAAAACAAAAAACAAAAATAACAACAGCAACAAAGACAATCGGAGACATTGAAGTTAAATATTTTATAAATGAAACAGTTCTTACTTGAATTTGAAGCAGCATTAGGAAATTTCAGAACAGATTTGAATGTTTTTTCCTTGTTATGTGAAAGATTTTGAAGTGGAGGCTGGGTAAGCTTTTGAGTGCCCTAAGTAGGGGGAAATATGCATTGTTTAATCTTATGCCTAGACATTTGCAGTAAGCCAAAAGATAGATTTTCTTTCTCAACACAGCATACAAAAAACAGCTACTGGGTTTTTGTTCCAGGCTCCCTCTGCACAGAGAACTGTGTGACTGTCATGAAGCATTGATTTTAACCTCAAAAACCAGAGCCCACTTATCCCAGCCTGTCTGGTTCTAGGGAAATAAGAGAATCTGGTGTGACAGGGAAGCAGGTGGCTGTCCCTCTGTGTCCCACCAGGCTGACCAAAGCACCATTGGCTTCTCTTACAGAGATTCACCACTGTTGTCTATTTCCAGCAGAAAAAACTCCACTAGATGTTTCAGAGAACAGGAATCATAAGTTTTCCTCTGACAGTGTTTGTCAACAGCCGTGTGTGTGTGTGTGTGTGTGTGTGTGTGTGTGTGTGTGTGTAGGCTACACATGCCAAGGCACATGTGTGAAGATCAGAGAATAACTTTCTAGAATCAGTTTTCTTCTTCCACCCTGTGGGTTCTTCGGATCAAGCTCAGGTCACCAGGTTCATGGCAAGAGCTTTACCACTGCACTGTCTCCCCAGCCCATCAACAGTCACTGGCAATGCACCGTATATCTGCCACAACAAAAGACTGTATAAAAAAGGTTAACAACCATGCTAGTCATAGCCCTGTGTGTAACCCCCCTGCAGAAAGGTAAATTTAGAACAGTGCTACTTAAGAACACATTCAAATCTTGCCTTTATGAACTCAAGAGTCTTCCATGTTATTGAATAGGAAATCAGTATAGGTAATGATGGGATGTAAGCATTTTCACTTTAAGAAAAATAGAAATACCGGCTCAGATAGATCCGTGACTCATTCAAAAAGCACACAGTCAACCAACAAGTCGGGAATGCACCTTGACCCTCGTATCACAAGGCTGTGGGGTCACAAGGTTAATTAGAGGAAAACCACAAACTCTCTGGACAGCTCCAGCATCCTTGCGACATCCTCTTGGAGAGAAATGGGAAGCTCCAACCCTTTCATAAGCCACATCCAAAACATCCATGTGAAATACTGACAAGCGCTTGCTGAGACTTAACCTCTGTGGTCCCAGTTGTAGCTTGTTCTCATAGGTTGTTACATCCTCTCTAGAGTACAGTCTGCTGTAGCCTTGCATAACTACTTAGGTGGACTTCAAAATGGAAAAAGAAAATGCAAAATGAGCAAAGTTGCCTAAATACTGCGTGGACTTTCCTCTGAAGTTTGCTCGGTTTATTCTAGTTCTGACCCAAAGATGTGAGCAATATCTCTGATACTAGTAGAATTGCTCTCCTCTTCCTCCTTCTCCTCCTCCTCCTTCTTCTTCTTCCTATTCTTCTCCCTATTCTTCTTCCTTTTCTTCCTCTTCCTTCTTTTCTTCCTCCTCCTCCGCCGCCTCCCCCGCCCCCGCCCCCTCCTCCGCCTCCTCCTCCTCCTCCTCCTCCTCCTCCTCCTCGTTTTCTGTCTGAGGTAGTCTCACTATTTAATGCAGGCTGGCCTCAAACTGCCTATCCTTCTACATCAGCCTGCCAGTGCTAGGGTGAGAGGCATGGACCAGCACCACCAGTTAGAACTGGCCTTCTTGGGAATGGCAGAAGGGTACTTTAAGCTAAAAGCCAACAGAACTACTCTTAGAATTGAGGACAGTTCTAGTTATATCTACAACAAGCAAGATTCAAAACCCAACTGATGGAGGAAAGCCCTAAAAATCTTGGAATCAGCTAGCTTTGAGAGTTATTTCATTTTTATCAGCATATACTAATTTACAAAACAGTGCGTTTGTTGTAGCATTCTGCACGTGCGTGCATTGTGCATGTGTGTGTTGTTCATTTGTAGTATATGTGCACTTGTGAGTGTGCAGCTGTCCTCATCCGTGGGGTACAGGCATGCAGAGGCCAGAGGAGGAAGTCCTCAGTGTTTTCCTCCATTGCTCTCTATCTTATTCCTATGAGAGGCTCCCTAAATGAGAGGCTTGCCGTTTTAGCTAGGCTAGTTTTTACACAGGTCCTGATGATTCAAACACAGATTCTCATACTTCCACAGCTCACAGCCATTGAGCCATCTCCACAGCCCCTCGCTTGTGACAGTGTGACATTTTCACATATACTTACCATGTTCTTTGATCATCAGAATCTCTGCAACTTCATTAACCTGCCTATATAACAGTAACCCTAAGACAAGCCCCGCTAAGGCCCAGCTCAGACATCACCCTAGTTTAAGTAAAGGCTGGAAAATCCTGTGAGGCATGGACCTGTGAGGCATGCTACAGCTTTCCTACTTTGCTGTTCCTTGCTTTCAGTGATGCTGTCTTAGAAACCAAAGTGCTGGGCAAGACCCAGCAGCCAGGGGATTAAATAAAAATGATAGCAATAGCCAGGAGATGGTGTCGTATGCCTTTAGTCCCAGCGCGCAGGAGCCAGAGGCAGGCAGATCTCTGTGAATTTGAGATCAGGCTTGTCTATAGAGTGAGTTCCAGGACAGCCAGGGCTGTCACACAGGGAAACATTGCCTTGAAAAACAAAACAAAGCAAACAAGCAAGCAAGAATTGGAGTTTTCACTTGACAGGTATATTTTCTAGACAAGTAACACACCCAGACTTTTCTTTTCAAATGCAAAAGGTTATATGTGCTTTTCAAAGTGAACATTCAGCTATGGTTACTAAGAACATATTAGTTCATTATTGTAAACAGGGGACATTTATTCAATAGTGTAGCCACTGAGAAGTTGCCCTCACTCCAGTAACCTCCCCTCATGCTCAGGCAAGGAACTCTAAATTCAGTGGCCCACAGGAGAGGAAGACATGAATGCAGGATGGAGACTAGTTGGGGACAGCTCCAGCAGGAGTGAGAGGAAGAGGAGAGCGGGGGAGGGGTATGAAAATGGCAAAAAGTTATAGTATGAACATGTGAATCTGTCAGACAATTTTTAAAAATTAAAGAAAACAAACTGCTGAAAACACAATATTAAAAGATCACTAACTGAGTTTATCTAAGTCCTGAGTGTTTCAGGCTTAACACAAATCAAAAGAACTGTTGGACACTATGGCAGTGGTTCTCAACCTCCAGGTGGTGACCCTTTTGTGGAGCAGGCTTCAAATGACCCTTTTAAAGAGATCATCGTGCATATGAAATATGTACATTTTAACTCATAACAGTAGCAAAATTACAGTTCTTAAGCAGCAACAAAATAATTTTATGGTTGGGGGTTGCCACAACACGAGAGACTTAGTTAAGGGTCGCAGCGTTAGGCATGTTAAGAAACACTGCTCTGTGGGTTTCATAGCTATTATTCAAACAGCTAGGACATGCTTCCCAAAGCCTTTTGCAGTTAGATAGAGAATTTCTGACTTTTAACCCAGAGCTAAGACGTGTGCTTGAACTGAACGCTAATTAATTCGCCTTCGGAGATGTGAACAACAGTTCCTGTGAGGTATTTTATCAAAAGCTTACCAAAACTCTTTCTACCATGTTTTCTCCAAAAATGAAGTCAGAAGTGCAGCTTTTAAAAGAACTCTTATCTTCCTTTGGTTGGCATCTACAGAAAAAAAAAATAAGTGCTTGGTATCTTACATTTGTGGATGGAGCCACTTTAAGCTTTAGCCAGCAAAATAATTAGGTGGTTTAATATGTTTATATAAAACATAAACACACTGCTTTGTTCAGATGAAATGAATGAGAAGTGAAGAGGAAACATGAGCTAAGGGCCTCCCAAGGGTACAATTCGGAATATTGTTGCCGACTGTTACAAGATTGGAGTTGACCTGTATAGATGATCTCATTCACTGCATGGGCTGCATATTCAGCTGCACGGCTGCCCAGCCCTTTTCTTGTTGTATCCCAGAAATCTCTAATCATTCTTCTCTATCCCAAGTGACCAATGATGCTTCTAGTACGCCAAGCTCTTCAGTGTCTTATCAGTTATTCTTGAGTGTGCATTGTTTTAACTCTTCTCCAAGAAAATTTATTTTTATATTAAAATCGTTCTGCACAATAAACAAAGACCAAACATGTAGCTCTCTCTTGGTAGGCAGACACACAAAAGGTTCTCAGCGCATCCCTGTGACCTTACCCCTGTGACCTCATAGTTCTCTACCTGGATTCAGCGTACTCATATGAGCCAGCATTTGTCCACAGCCAGTTTGTGTCCTTTCAGGTAAAACTTTCCATCATCTCCAGTAACACTAACTAACATGAACTTCTCACTCAACATATGCATACTGCTTTTCTCTTACCTGCACAATTAATGCCAATTAATCACAGCTAGCACCACAACTGATTAGAAAGAGGGAGAAAGGACATCAAGGAAAAAGGAAGGAAGATTAATAGCAAGATAACTTGTACCAGAAGTTTGGCCATATCTGTTTGAAATATTCTGACCCGAGTTCATGAGGCAATGAAGGCAGTACAATAAATATTATTTTGATGATCGTGAGGTAGCTGAGGTATTCTGAAGAGCTTTCTAAACTAATCTTCTTATAAAATGGCTATTCCTGGTTGTCAACTTGATGACATCTAGAATAAACTACAATCCAGAAACGGAGGGCACACCTGTGATCCAGATTTTGAGGCTGGAATATCAATAGGCTATTGACCTGGATCTTGACATGGAGATCTTGAGGCAAAGTGGCCATGAAAAGCTTAGTCCCAGGCGAGGTAGTACACACACCTTTAATCCCAGGAGACTGAGGCAAGCAGATCTCTGAATTCAAGATCAGCCTAGGACAAAGCAAGTTCCAGATACAGGGGTGGTGGTACACACCTCTAATTGGGACCACACCATCTGCTAGAGACCTACGCAAGGACATTGGAAGAAGGAAGGCTCACTCTTCTTTGCCTGCTTGCACTTACTTGCCAGCACATCTGTTGGAACCTACCTCTTCAGGATTCCAGCTTATACAGAAGACCAGCTAAAACAACTAACCTTGTAGGACTAATGAACTACTAGATTCTTGGATTTCCCATGCGTAGCTGCCCAATGTTGGGTTGGTTGGACTGCAGACTGTAAGTCATTACAGTAAATTCTCTTACTATATAGAGACATTCCGTAAGTTCTGTGACTCTAGAGAACCCTGACTAATATGTAAAACATGCTTTCAAGAAGAATGTTGTCAATTTATTCATACAATATCAGAAAATTACAGTGTATGGAAAGTTGAAATGGTCAGAGAAAACAAAAGGGTAAAGGAGACATTTCAGTTGTCTCATTAGATTGAACATTCCTATTTTGAGAATCTGCAGTACAAAATTCTCCCAAATCTGAAACATATTGAGCAATGATATAATATCATCATTAAAAAATTCCTGGCCTCCTATAATGGGTCAGAGTCAAAATCATTAAAATAATATTGTATACAAGTACATTCAGACTACATACCTGAGGTGTATGTAAATCTGTGTTCATGAGTTTTATGTTTGGAGTCGGTCTCATCCCTAAGATATTAATTACCATATATGCATTCAAATAACATAAAAATCTAAAAGAAATAATCTGAAACCCTTCTTATTGCAAGCACTTCGGAGAAGGAACGCAAGAGCTGTATTGATCATTTTACCCTGATGGTGCCTCTGAGACGCACGGATCAGTAGACAGCTGGACTGAACTCCTGGCATTTGGTAAGTTTTCACTTAGTAAATCAGAGTTTGCTTCAGAAATCTGGAAAAAGGAAAAAGAAGAAAAGAAAGGAGGAACCCATCTGAAAATTCATTAGACCTGCTCCGTCTACAGCCAGACGTGTTAATCCGTTTCCTGTGCCCAGATTCACCCCAGCCCATTGGGTGCTTCATCTCATGGGCTCCTCACAGCTCTCTGCACTCTGTACTTCCACAGCCCACAGTTTACATGTGAGCTGACAGACAGAACTTAGAGCGCTCACCCAAGTCATACAACCAAATGGAAGTGTCACTAAGTACAATTCTTTCTGAGTCCAGAGACTGCATTCTTCTAATACTCGCATGGGCATATTTTATCCACTTGGGATTGATTATTATTTCTGGATCAGTAAAAGTACTTTTCAGGACTATTTAATCTCTGGAAATATCCTAAGAGCTCCACTACCACAGCCCCCAGTGTAAGAGGAAACTCTGCCTATCTCTTCATCCTGACATTTTCCGTGGGTAACTGAGCCAGCTGAAACTGGTTTTGAGCATTTACATAAGGCGCATGGCTTATATTAATACCATAAGTGTGGGAATGAGGGATTTCAGAGCTGTAAAGAATTCTTCTGGCCCAGTATTTACTGTGTCTTTGGACACCTCTCTTCCCCTGTAGGGATTTGCAAATATGTTCTAGGGGGTGAATTCATGTTTTCAAAGTCAGGCGGGTTCTGTTTCCACTTGAATTTTTATACCAATCAATAAAAGTATTAACGTTTCCCTCTTATAATGGGAACTTGAAAGCTAACAAAAGTCTGCAAGAGAGCACGTGCTTTGGTTATCTAAGGTTAGGGTATATGCCAGTAACCTTGTCGCTGAAATAATTTATCCTTCAGTCAGATAGTTTTCACTCTCTGTTGTGTAAAATAGTTTTAGGTAGATTTGCCTTGATTTATACACAATAAATGGACACGGCAGAATTCAAGTTTTAAAAATATGTGACATCAAAGCGGAGGGAGCACTGTTTAGGGAGCACAATTTGAGAGAAGGGAGAGGACCAGAAGGGGAGGAGGGATGAAGGGCAAAGTAAGATGGTATATGAGCATGGAGAAGTTATATGAGTATGCTAAATAAGAAGCATTTCCTTCTAGGAGCTGTCAATCAACCCCAGGGCCTTGTGCTTGCAGGGCAAGTCCTCTACCACTGAGTCAATTCCTCAACCTTGTAAAGAGAAAAGTGTAAAATGTTTCCTTGACTTTATGAGATCATAATATAATTACATCCTTTCCCCATCTCCTTCCCTCTCTTCAAATCCTCCTATACACTTCTCCTCGCTCTTTCAAACTCACAGCCTCTTTTTAAACTGTTGTTACATACACATGTTACATACACATGTATGTGTGTATATATGTAAATTCCTAAATACATAGGTGCAACATGCTTAGTCTGTGTAATGTTGCTTACGTGTGTGTGTTTTCAGGACTGAGCAGTCCATACGGTCTCACCAACAGCACTGCCTAACCGTGAGCTGAATGAAGACAACAGTAATAATCATACTAAAGTGGACCCGGGCAGTGCAGTGAGGGGGACACCACACGAGGCCTCAACCCTACACAACGAGCTAAAGGCAACGAAGGCGTGCTGACAGCAGGAGAAACAGTCTTCCTCAAGGAAGAACGCATCAATTGGTTTTCTAATACCAACAGGAAAAGTTTTAAAGACTATAAGAAACAGTGTTACCGAAGTGTCTTAGTCAGGGTTTCTATTGCTGTGATGAAAACACCCTGACCAAAAATCAAATTAGAAGGTAGCTACTTGTATTCTAATGTTAATTGGGTCCCCCAAAACTGTTTGTATGAGCAGATCTACATGTAGCTTTTGGGAACCTGCCCCCAGTTAACTTTGATTGGTAAGTAAAGATGTCAGCAGCCAATAGTTGGGGAGGAGAGACATAGGCAGGGTTTTAGGTTTTCTGGGCTTGGGTCCATGAGGAAGGAGGAGGAGAGACGTCATGCATCAGGAGTGTACTGGACAGAGAAGGAGAGCTGCCATGTAAAGGAGCCAAGAGAATGTGGCCCGGAGTGCTGCTCAACTGGCTCAAGAGCAGCCAAGATGGAACATAGGCGTTAGTAAATAGTGACTCGGAGTTATCATCATGAGGTAGATGCTAACAACATGGAAGTTAGGCAGTTGCCCAGCTGTTTACGGTGCTGCTTAAGACATATTAAAATATATATAAAGGCTCTCTCTCTGTGTGTGTGTGTGTGTCTTTTATTTGGGAACATAAACCATTGAGGTGGGTAACAACCCCACTTTGGGATTTATTAATATATTTTACTACATATATTTATCAATATATTTTACATATATATTTATATGTATAAATACATATATGTATACATACATATATATTTATTAATACATTTTACTACTTATTTGGCTTATCCTTCCGGATCATAGTCCTTCATTGGAGGAAGTCAGGACAGGATCATGGAGGCAGGAGGCAATGCAGAGGCTATGAAGGAATGCCGCTTACTGCTTAGCTTCCCATGGCTTGCTCAGCCTGACCTTTTACAGAACCCAGGACCACCAGCTCAGGGATGGGGCCACCCACCATGAGCTGGGCCCTCCCCAACTGATCACTAATTGAGAAAATGTGTTACAGCTCATGGAGGCGTTTTTTTTTTTCAACTCAAGCATCTTCTTCTCTGATGACTCCAGCTCCTGTCAAGTTGACACACAAAACCAGCCATCATACAAACTTTATATTTTCATTAAACTTTTATATTTAAATAGTGCCCCCCTGTTTTGGTTTGTGGTTCTTTAATTATAAGTAACAGCTAACATTTTTACTAAAAAGTAACAGGGTGGACACTGATTAATCAAATTTTGATATGTGTCAATAAAGAATATAAGCTAATGAGTCTATAAAATTCACTTTGGGATAATTTTCACAGTATCTACAAATTACCCATTTAGTCAAGCTGGGAGCCATAGAATTTCATACATTTTGTGTCTCTGGTGTTCCAAAGACCATAGTAAGACAGAAAACTCAGTAATAGACATATCCAGTTGGGCCTCTCAGTAACTGGGGATAATCCCTATTCATTAAACTTTTAAATTATGAAGAAATTTTTGCAAACCAGAGCTGCAAACTTTCTGTTTTATAATTTAGGCAGGAAAAAAGGGCAATAAGTAATAAATTACAGTCTTGAGAATCTGAGTTCAGTGTCCAGAAAGCCAGGTAGCAAACCTTTATAATCCAGGACTGGAGAGTAGGGAAGATCTCAGGGGCTGCTGGCCAGGTAGCCTAATTGTCAAACTCTGTGCCAATGAGAGAGCCTGTCTCAAAAGCAAGGTGGGGGGCTCACGGCAGATGACATTCAAGGTAGTTCTCTGGCCTGCAAATGCACATACATGCATGTGCACACACAGATGAGGCTTATAAAAAGCTTGACAAGGAACAACTATCACTACACTTTGGATATAATAACATAATAAAAACTTGGTCTATACTTACACCATACACCATTCCAAAATGGTGTGTAATATTTCAAAAATTTCTTTGCAGAATTTAAGACTAATTTAACACCTTCCTCCCCAGCATTTCTAAATAGATAAAAGTAATTACAAAATTATAGTTAATGTACTAATCTAAAATTAAGACTATGTTTTACCTTATAAACCACTTGTCATCTTCCATGCATAATTGATTAAATTATTGTTAAAAATCACAGTGAGCCTCACAAAATCATACCTTACAAAGAAGAGGGTTTGGAAGCATAACAATTTTGGAAACTGCTGACCATGTCCCAGTCCCTTTCTTGACTGACAGGAGAATTTTGGGTGCCTGGTTTGGATAAGTGTAGGTAGTTTCCTGCCAAGACTTCTTCTAGTCTGATTTCTTTCTTAGTCAAAATGTCTGATATATTTCACTTCCGTGTGTTACTGTCATCGTGTTCATGGAAAACCAAACCAGTTTGAAGACCTCAGCTGTTTGAAGACAAATGGCAGGTGGAATAACTCACCTTCCAACCACCTAAACCATGTCCCATTTCTCCTGAGTACCACAGCTAAAGCTGCAGCCACAGAACATTCTGGAGCCCCACATTTGCATGCCCCACACAAAGGCTCTCGCCTTAGGACAGCTTGCAGTCAGGAATTCAGACCCCGAAGCGAGCCATCTTACCTGTCTCTGGAAGCTGTCAAGCTCCCCTACCCCACCCACAGTTACTCTGTGTATGGAATCTTTGCTGCTGTTATCCAGGAAGATGTGTCCGGTGTGAACTAAGCTGGCAAAGCTTCGCTGCGATGTTGGACAGCTGGGGATGCAGAACCCCGTCCCCATTGTTTGACTACAGGTAGTGCCCCTGCCCATCTCATTACCCCCTCCCACCCCCCGGCGTTTTTAACTGTCATCATTCTGGCATTCCTACTATGCTCACGAGTTCCCACTGCTTGCTGCACAGCTTTTCCACTTGGGAGTGACAGCAACCACAAAATCTAGTCCAGGGAGCACTCTCTCATTTCATAAGATTACCAAGAATGTTTCAGTGTCGCTTCTGTCACTGGCAATTTTTCTTACCTTCTGCTCGGCATTTTCCTTAGTTTTGCAGGATTTCAATGCATCGGGCACAAATGTTGTGCCTACTTTTTGACAGCTATGAGTTTGAGACATCTGCAGAACAGCGGGTCTTAGAACATGTTCCGAAGGTCTCACCGGGGGACCTTGAGAGAGCAGAATGAAAAGATTAATCCATTTTAGTGAAATGAGCCCTTGCCCCTATTTTTAAATGATGCTTTTTAAAAAAAACATCACAACTGAGTTTTCAGAGACTAATCAAAGTCAGCGCAACCTGTGAATTGCCCGCTACTTACTTTTTTTGCCTAGCTTTGGCCGGACAAGTGTTTCTTTTAACTATGTGGCTTGTCTAACCAAATATTTTTACCCTTCATGTTCTGTCACTCTGTCCTGCCAACATACACCCAACACACACACAGAAGTGGTGGGGGGGGAGACATTAAAATATGCGTGGTAAACAGAAGCTATAGACTGCAGCCATATAGGGTCATAAGTCTGCCTATTTCTCTAAATTATTTAGAAAACCTTGAAGTTTGTTTATTTACTTCTATCTCTTCTCTAAATATGCCTCCCTTGAAGCTTTGGCTTTCCACCAATGTTGTCAGCTTCGTTACTCTTTCGCTGAAGCGTCCCCCCTCCACATGGCGGCTCATCCACCAGGCGTCTGACCTTCATCCCAGCCTCTATGACATGGCTTTGTCTCCTCTTCTCCAGGCAGCTGTGGGAGATATATAACTTGCCGGCCCTTTTCTTTTTCTAAGTTTTAACACAATTTCCCTAAGTAAGGAGGTGGATGGATAAATGGATGGATGGGTGGATGGATGGATGGATGGATGGATGGACAGATAGATGGATGGATAAGTAAATAATAGATGGTGAGACGTAGAATTTCGGGGGTTCTTGAAACTGAAGATTCGTACCTTGCTCTACGTTGTTCATGTCATCACTCCTTTGTAACAGACGTGATGTCATAAAAACATTGTTTTTCCTCACTAGAAGGAAAAAAAAAGCATTAAAAGAAACTTTGACGCCTGTGTCAATGTTTACACTTTGGAGAAAAGGCCTGCTCGGGAATCACCAGTAGATGTCGCTACTGGCGCTAATGCCGCTAGAAAGAAGCGCTCGTCGGAGGGCTGGTCCTAGTAAATGGGATTGCCAGGCAAGATATGCTACCTACTTCTGCTCAATTCTCAAAGATCTAAAATTAGACCTTTGATAGAAGAGGTAATCTTATTTATTATAATTAAATAGTGTGTTGTAAGACATTTTCAGATCACTTCAACCCCTGAAGTGATAATGAATCCTGTGTGCGTATGTACACCTCTCATAGAATGCTACAAGACTATTAACAAATCTTTCACGTCTTTTAAAAATGATACTCAGGAGAGAATTAAAGATGGCAGCTATGCTGATTGCTTTGTTACTTAATTAGTTTGTTTGTTGTTTGTCAACTTGACACAAACTAGAGCCATCTCAGAAGAGGGAATATCAATTTTAAAAATACCTACATAAAATAGGCCTTTAAGCAAGTCTGTGGGGGACCTTTTCCTGATTGATTATTGATGCCGGGAGGGTCCAGCATACTCTGGGCAGTGCCACACCTGGGCAAGCACACCTGGTTGTTGAAGAAGCAAGCTGAGCATGCCTTAGAGAGTAAGCCAGGAAGCAGCCTCAATGCCCCATCCCATCCCACCCCGCCTCTTAATACTCCCCATCCCACCCCCACCCCCATCTCTGCTTGAGCTCCAGCCTCCAGGTTCCTGCTCTAACTTCCCTCCATGGTGAACTATAAATTGTAAGGTGAAACAATCCCTTTCCTTTCCTAAGTTGTTTCTTCTTCGTTTTTGTTTTTGTTTTTTGTTTTTTGTTTTTGTCACAGTAACAGAAACTAAACTATGATAACAAAGATGCTAGGTTGTTTTCCTCTAGGTGTTGTTATTGGATTTCTGGACTTTTAAAAGGGAGGCAATTTCCTTGGTACTGCAGTGTCCAGGCATCTAACTAACAAAGATGACAAGAACTCTTCACCATATCATCTCATGAATGTCGGAATGGAATTGCTATTCTAGCCAAAGCTGGATTTAGTAGTTTTTATTATCTGTATTACTTGAAACAAACAACAAACAGAACATATGAATTGTACCATTTTCTCAACTTCAACAGAAATTTTATGATTCTGCAGAGCATACATTAGAAATACTGCTTACTGCTTAGTGTCTTCCAGTATGCTCATCCTTTGTGTATCTGATTTTAAAAGATGACATAATTACATAGATAGATAAAGTAAAGCTATCCCTTTGCTTTACAGAGAAATGTAGTAAAATAGAATGTTTCGCCCTTGGGATTTGCCTCCCCCCCATTTCTCTTATAAACTTGTCATGTGAGTTCTGAAAGTCAATTGAACCAAATGGTGTCTCTTCTGAGACTGGAAAGTGGCTTATACACTGTTGCACAGTTATGATTGTTATCATCATTATTAATCTGTTTTCATTGGTTTGAAAACTTTGCAGTTCTCGGGTAGAGAATAATCAATCAAAAAGAAAGAAGATAGATGATAGATAGATGATTGATAGATAAATGGATAGATAGATGATAGACAGATAAAGATAGATAGATAGATAGATAGATAGATAGATAGATAGATAGAAAGAAAAGTAGTTGATTGATAAATGGATAGAACATTGATAGATATAGATAGATAGATAGATAGATAGATAGATAGATAGATAGATAGATAGCAAATAAAATTTCATAGTGATAAGCACTGGAAAATGCAGTTGATTGTTCAATACAAATAAAAATACCCAAGAATGTAAGTCACTGTGGAGCTAATGTGGAGACAGTGCCAATCATTTCATTGTGCTAAACATTTCAGCATGATGAATAGTTTAATTGGCAAAGCATTATGAATTTCAAGTAAAGAAAAATAACATTTTTATTAGTTAAACTCTAAGAATCATATTCTAAGCCTCAGAACATGAGTCAAAAGCATTGTTATATTTTGAATACTATATGAGCTGTATTTGCAGACAATACTAAATAAAGCAAAGAATACCATTTTAATTTTGTAGATTTGCCTCCCATAAAGTAATGCTTATGGCACAAAGTCTATAAGACCTATTATGAAAAGAATTCCTGAAGATGTATGACATAGAAAGAAGGCAAACTAAATCCCCAATGTACTCAGCATACAGTGCATAACAGAACTCTTCTTTAAATGTAGGCATCTGTTTATTTCATATATGAAATCCTAAAATATGCCAAGTATAAACTTTTTGCCAAAAATAAACTATACTGTCTGGAATTGTGACATTTGTAAGATAGCCCTCTTGCATGCTTAACTATGGCTTGTCTCTCATTTGCTGCTCAAACAGTTAGCATCTTATGATGTCTAAGAAAGAAAATTCTTAATAAGTGATAAGAATGGTTTCAGAGGCATCAGAGTGTCGGGATTGAGGTTCTAGGAGTCTGTCCTTACCTGGCCTCGTTGGAGGGAAGGTTGGGACATCAGTGAATGACGAGGACCTCAGGCGCGTCTGAGATAAGGCTGCCACTAAGAGCACATTGCAAATGCAGGTCATTAAGGAGGTGGATCTTTTGTCTAGTTTGACTGAGATTCTGTTGTTTGAAGAAAAATTCAGATCTCCAATTTAAACAAAAATATCTTTTTTCTTGTATTTTTATCAATCAAAACAGAGACTGACTCTGGGGCTTATAAATTAACTTCATTTTCATTCAACTCAGTAAATATTGCTTGAATGCTAACCGTGTATTAGACATTCTGTTAGGCACAAAATACCATCTGTGAACTCATATTGGGTGGAGATGTATGTACAGAAATTGCTGCTTTGCAAAGCCCAAAGGCTGTTAAACACACTAGGCAGAGGAGCACCAGGGTATGTTAATGCATAGATGGGCAAACTGTGGGGTTTTTTTAATCCATCTTTATTTATTTACATTTCGGATGTCATCCCCTTTCCCCATTTCCCCTCCTTAGAAACCCCTATCCCATCCCCCCTCCTCCCTTTTGCTTTTATACCAATTTAATTTCATGCAAGTATTAAGGTCAGTTCTAGGTTGAGGAACTAGTAATACAGTAGATGCAAATAGTCAAGGAACAAGCAAGACAATAAACACAAATAGTCAAAGAACAAGCAAGGCAATAAACAAAGTCCCATGATCACTCCTGTGATCACTGTTTCTAAGGGCTTATCAGAATCATCAAAATTTCTGAGCCTACTTCCCTGACATAGCCCAAAGTCTTTTTCATGTCTGAAGCCTACTTCTTTGTTCTAGCCTAAGATTTAGATTCCTGCCTGAATTACTTCTTTGTTCTAGCCTAATGTCAGATTCCTGCCTGAAGCCCACTTCCTTGTCCTTAGCCAATGTCATATTCCTGCCAAGCAGCCCATTTCCTTGCCTTTGGTCCATGTCAGATTCTTGCCAAGCAGTCTCAAAAGCTTTCCACTTCTCTCCCTTTTTTTTTCATAAACAAGACTGAGCCTGTCATCATGGAATATGCATTATCAATAGCAATGCACTTCTGTCTTAGGTTGGTAAGGCTCTTTGCAGAATCTTACTCATCCTTGGCTTGCCGGCCTGTTAATTTAATAACTCTGTCTGGGGGGCAAATTGTTCTTAACTGGCTCAGAAAACAATATATAATAAAATTCTTCTTCTTCTTTTTAAAAAGATTTATTTTATTTATATGGACTACACTGTTGCTGTCTTCAGACACACCAGGAGAGGGTATCAGATCCTCCCATTACAGATGGTTGTGAGACACCATGTGGTTGCTGGAAACTGAACTCAGGACCTTTGAAAGAGCAGTCAGTGTTCTTACTGGCCGAGCCATCTCTCCAACCCAATAAAGGTCTTCTTAAAGTGCCAGCATGTTTTTATTTTGTAGGTGCTTACTTTTAAATGGCCAGTTGGAAAGGTTTCTTTAAAAAAAAAAATTCACAAACAATACAATAGTCAAAACTATACCTACCTCCTAGAGACTCAGAATCTGTAGTATGAAACGTGACAGATGAAGACCTTACACGCTTTCTCAAGAAACCAGTGAATTCTGAAAGAAATAATAGGAATGGTAACATTGTTTAAGATAACACACAGTATGGAAGGATAGTCTACTCTTAGGTGCTTAGGTTTTACAACTTGCTGACTCTTGAAGCCCAGAATTAAATACTAGAAATAAGGTGATTATAAGCCTACAGGAGTTTCATATTAACATGGAACAGATAAAAATGAGTCTTCTACAGGAAACTATACAGATTCCAAAGTTCTGCAGAAAATCAAAGAGGCTATGCACTCACATCACTGTTCTCGAGTATCTGATTATCATCTTTCAAACTAAAGGTCAATCCATGTGTGTACTTAAGAAGAAAGGAAAACCACTAAGTTTCATAGTGTCTGTGCCACAAGTCCAAATGCTTGTGCTTCCTTGCTTCTTTTTTTTAAATAAAGATTGGAATTAGTATTGTACAAACCAGAATGTAATTCATTTCCAAGCTCTGCTGTTTCGTCCAGGCTGTCTTCTGCAGGTCTCTGAAAAGATATAAAACTCCCAGTGAAAGCTGAGTATTTTCTGGTTTTGCATCAGTTTTCCACCCTGTTTCTGAATTAAGAGAATTTTCAGGAGCCAGAGTTCTTCAGCTCACAAGGACAAAGCAATACACCATAGTTTCAGCAAGAATATGTCAACAGAGAAGTCTTGCCCAGTGGTTATAGTGGTTATAGAATCATTTCTAAACAGTTGTTTTAAATGCAGATTTTTTTGAGGCACCTTCTCTCAGGATTCTGCAGTGCTTGATCTGGAGTGAGGTTGAACTTTAGTTTATCATGTGAGTCGTTTGTTAATGACTGCATGTAAGAATGAATTCTGAAAACCGTAACAAGGTGGGTACAGCTAATTCCCCAGCTCCCATATTTCCAGGGTGATGCTTCAACATCACATAGATTCTTGAAGCTCTTCCAAGTAGTATCGAAATCAAATGCTGGAGCTTTTATACCCGGCTTTAGGCTCTTTTGATAATGAGGAACAAAGGAGGTCTTAACCGTCTTAATCTTTTTCTGTCCCCCATCTTTTAAAGTCACTCCAAATAAGCATATTACTTCAGATAAAGCGCTTCACCTACAACCTAGAGATATCAACCAAACTGATGTCCCTGAACCCCCACATGAACATTCTGTGGAGAATTAGACTCATGCAGCTGCCATATCTTAGTATAAATACCTCCTTAAAGCCTTATTTATCAGAACCAAACTATGTTGATCTTACCTTAAAATTGTGTTCTTCTTTCTCAAAAACAAATGTTGGTTGAGCAACAACATATTTTTCTGAAAAAAAAAAAAAAGGAATAGTCAAGAAATCAAAGCACACTGATGTCTCTCATGTCACCTAAAAATACTTCAGGAGTGTTTTCTGGTTTTGCAATTTTCTTGTCGTGGTGATTTAAATGATACTAGCCTCCCCCCAGAAGAAAATGTTTGAATATTTTGTCCCATTTGGTGGAAAGTTTCCGAAGGATTAGGATGTGTGGACTTGTTAGAGAAGGTGTATCATTGGGGGTGGGCTATGAAGTTTTAAAATCCCATATCAGATTTCTCTCTCTCTCTCTCTCTCTCTCTCTCTCTCTCTCTCT